GCACTCAGGTCACAGGGCATCTATTTGTCCTTTTGGTAGAAGAAACAGAAAACCCACCTGTTTCGCTGAATGTATTTTACAAACTAAGAAGAAAGGGAGGAAGCCGGGAGCTCTTCTTAAATTCTTTCTCTTCCTGATATAAGGAACATCTCACAGAAGGGGAATTCGAGTAGAGCCATGAAGGCAGGGGGCAAGGAGAGGAAAGACCAAGTCAAGCCAGGATGCCGGGGCTGGGCCTGTAGCTGTCCAGCCTAGTTGGGGAAGCAGGCAGTACCCCACCTACACAAATCCCACCCTTGGCAGCCCTGAGTTCAAGTGCTGCACACAGGACAGGACAGATGACCTCCTGATTACATGACTTCCTGGCCCGAGAAAACTGATCTGTCCTTACCAACTGGAGGCTCCTGTGCATGGAGCGGGCATTCAGCAAATAGTTGTGGAGTGAGTGAATGGGCCCAACTGGGACCCAATACCCTACTAAGCCATAGAAAGCTTGCTGCCAAGTTCAGCCAAGGGCAGCCAAGCACATGAGGTAGGAGCAGCCAGCGTTAGAGGGTAGAGGCTGGCTGCTGTTTGCTGTGTGCCCTGGGCCCAGGCCTAGCCAGGCTGGGGAAGACTGCAGGTCCCAGAAGCTCTTTCTAGTTCATCTGGGACTTTTTCTATCTCTCTCCCCTCCTCCTCCCCAGTCCCTCTTGATTGGCAGCAATTGCTGGCTCTGACATGATTTAAAAATAGATATTAAGACCAGGAAGTTTAATTTTTAATGCTTTGGAAATGAACACGGGGCTGGCATTCTTTTGCGGCCACGTTCCAGGGGTCTCTCAGGGTGTCTGCCAGGCCCTTCATCTTGCTGCTTGACCCCAGCAGTCAGACCTGACCCCACCCCACCTCCAAAAGATCTGCTTGTGGCAGCCTCCTGGGGAACCATCCCTCACTCCCAAGCACTATAGGAAATCCTTAACTGTCTCCTGGCTCTGCTGGCTTCCCCTGATCTCTAAGATCAGGTGAGGTCAAGTCCCAACCTGAACTTCTTTCTAGGATCCCTCAAACCAGAAGGTACCCCACAAATTCTCTATAGCACTATAGGCTTTTCCTTAATTCACTGTGCCTGGATCTTAGACTAGAGCCCACAGAAGTACTTATATGGCATGGCCATGCCAGTATGGAATATGTATGGCTAAGGCAGTAAAGAGGCCGGCCCAAGCCAGCTGCACCCAAAGAGAGCAAACAAGGGGGGCCTGACCAGCTCAAGGAGATTAATCAGGAACCCTACCTGGCACTCGGCTTGTGGCAGTTCCATGTCTACTGTTCCCTTGCTCTAGCGGGCACAAGCTGCACTGTCTCCTCTGCTACTAATTGTCCTTTATAAAAGGAGCGACCCACAAGGAATAGGCTTCCAACGGGACCAGGGTGTCACTGCTCTGCCGGCCATGACTTAAAGGGATAGGGCAGCTCCGCTGGCAAGCATGAAAAGTGACTTATCCTGAGTAGCAATTAGGGTACCCATCTGGCCTGGCTCCTCCATCTCAGAAAGCAACTGGATTGAGATTGGGAGGAACTGGGCTGGGACCTGGATTTGCTGGCTTGAGAGAAGGCCATGTGGCCCCAGCACATGGAGATTGCTTTTGTACGGCACTCCTTTCCTCACTAGCAAGAGCCCTCCTGGATATTCATTTAGTCTCTACATGGACTATTCTCCCAGGCACCCCTGACAGGATCCAGAAATGAGTCCTGTCCATCCAGAAGCCAGAATTCTTTGTGGTCCTGAGAATCAGGGTGGAGGTGTGTGTGAAAGGTCCAAGAAGAGGGGATGGCCACTCATCTCCCCCTCCTTTATTCTCTCCATCTATGTCCTTTATTCTATCCATCTCAGAAACGCAGCCCTCCCGGGTGCCTCAGGCTCCCAGGGTGCACTGGGCCGCCTAGCAGGCTAGAACTGTCTGGCTGAAGCCAGAATGCCAGGAACAGACCTGGACCCCCACCAGCAGGCAGGCACCCAGCAGCCTTGGAGGCACTTGCCCCTTTCTTAGTAAGACGGAGGAGCGTGAACAGCACAGCCCCACCTCCTCCACCCTACCCCTGGTGACTTCACCAGTACCGCCGCTGAAGCTCCACCCAGTGGAGAGGAAGCAGTCAGCCAAGGGGGGCTACAGTGTAAGTCTACCAGAACCACACTGAACCAGGACTCCCTCAGAGGCTCCGCCATATAGGGGGCGTGGCACTGTGCCTGGGGGACTACCTGATAAGCTCTGGAACCACGAGAAACTCCCTGCTGACTGTAGAGTCAAGTTCAACTCTAGTCCCCAGAAAAAGCCTCTCTAGGCCACGACGCTAAAGCAAGATGGCTACACAGCTCTAACTCCTGATCTCAGCAGACTGAGTCTGACCCTCCTGCCACTGTCTTCCTTTCCTTCTGTGTTCCCCAACTCGGTGTGCCTGAGAGCAGCAGCAGAGCCCCCACCCCGAGACCACGCACATCCACCCACCATGCTGTCTGTTCTCATTTATCACCCTCTTCTCCATCCCTACACTGAGCTGAGAAGCACCTGCCTGGAGGAAGTCCTCACCGGAGTACAACCTTGTGACCCACCATCCCAGATCCCTCCAATTCCCAGAGAGCACTGGCAAAAGCATAGGCAACCGTCCCGTTCCTCTTATGCCAGATTCCCCATCTTTCCTAAAATCTACATCCTATTTCAGCATCTCATCTGGTAGTAGCATTAAAAAAAAAAAAAAAAAATGTGTCTTTGAAACTCAAGTCACCCTAGCTTGTGGTTTGCCATAGGAATTCTGAAAATACTAAGTAATTAGAAGGCCAGGCAGTAAGATCTCTAACTCCTAACTACACTCTAGAAAGGGCAGGCACATCAACAGACTGCTGAGATGGGAACTGCCACCGTGCCTGTAGAGAAGACAGAATCACTGCTCACACAACGGCTTAAGGTGCTAGAAGAACCTTTTCTATTGGCAGCTTTGATACCTAACTTCTCTTCCCCATTACTTGGGACTTGGGGAATCGCAGCCACATAAAACCATGCTGCGATTCACTCATGAGATTCACTTCATTTGGTTGTTTACAGAGGTATTACGGGTCGCTGCAATGTTCATGACACAGAGCCTGGCCTGCAAGGAGGTGTCCTGCCCCAAACTAAGCTAGAATCATTCTGAAGGCATCACAAGCAGTTATACCAACTGTGGCCAGCAGGCGGCGAGGTGAGGGTGGCCAGGAGCCTGGGCTGCTGAGTGGGAGTCACTGGTCAAAAGGCACTAAACATCTACGCCCACAGGGTCTTCATATAATTAATGTATGTGCAGTGGGGCAGGCCGAAAAGGTAGGCTGAAACTATGAGAGAGGAGAGAGAAGGTTGCAGTCAACAACGAAAATGACAGCATATTCATGTAGACCTCAGACACCAGGGAAACACACACCAGCACTTGGCTCACACAGACACTGGCAAAGGAATGGAAAGAGCAGAAGGCACCGGCCCACAAGACGGTGGCAGGGTCATTCTTAACATTCCAATGGTTCCCATCACCAGAAAGAGAATCAGAGTATCCGCCCCAGCTTTCCTAAAACCCCAACCATGTGACAGGTGACACTGATCATCACAGGGCCCCTCCCCCCACCCTCCCAGACCCCCCCCCCAGCCCTCCCTGCCACCCCCCACCCCTGACTATGGAAATATCTAGAGGAACCCACCTCATCTCAGACCAGTCTCTGAGGAAAAGAAACTGATGCGCCCGGTTGTCTCCTTGAGCCCCAGGGTAGCACATAGCTAAGGCAGTAAGGACCATGAAGAAGACCTCCTAACAGCCTGGACTAGAGAAGATGCCCCAGTCTTAGGGGGCACAGTGAGTCACTCAAGGTCACACAAGAATCTAACGAGGCATGGAAGGCAGATAAGACTCACGCTTCTTCCTTCGAAGGCCAGAGCTTCTCCGGGAAAGTTACCCCCTGCGCACACACATACACACACAAGTTTTTCTTAAAGTAGGTCACTCACTCCACGGAAGATGCACACCACCGCTACCCAACCTCGCTGGGGATGTCTTTCTCCTGTCCCCAGGCTCCTCCTGAACCGAGCATGGCAGATGACGGCCTCCAACCGGTGGTCAGGACAGAGCCTGGGGATGAGCCAAACATCTGTGCTGAGGAGTCTGAGCTCTGGTGAAGAAAGGCAGAGGCGGTAGTAAGGGTGGAAGAGCCCGAAAAGAATGCAAGAAGTTTTCAACCAGTCTGTGTAACTAGTACTTTTTGTGCACGCACAGTCACCAGTGTTACCACATGAGACGGGCTATTTCCAAGCCAGCCTACCTGCAGACAGTTTCTCTTTAAAAAAAAAAAAATAAAAATAAAAAAATCATCTCTCATCGAGGACAGAGGGCATCACTGCCTGTCTGCCTTTGTCCCTTTTCATCCGGGAGCCTGGAAAAGTGTGGCCAGCCTGCTGGCTGCCCAGTCCGCCGCAATCCCTCAAAAGCAGCAGCCAGACCCCCCCATCATTGCCTCCTCCTTTTCCTGGGAGCCACCTAAGGGCGCAGGATTCTGTGACCTCCACACCCCTATCCCACTCCCACAACACTGCACACCGTTCTGCACTCAGAAGCAATAGAAGAAACTCAGAAACCATCTTCCCTGTGTCTCCCACCAACGCCGGGCACAGCTGCTCAGAGTCTGGCCCACCCCCACTGATGCACGTTCCCGGGAGCAGGTACTTCAGCGTGGCTTTCCCTGGTGGGGAAGGAGGCGGTGGCAAACTTTGCCAGCCTCCCAGGAGCAGAGCATGTCTCTCTCCTGGAAGACGGACAAGTTAGAGCCTACATTCAGCCATGGATGAGAGGGAAAAGGGAAGAGAAAGATGCCAAAGGAGGGATGTGATTTTTTTTTTTTTAAGCACTTACCGTTGGGAACGATACAGCAACGAATAGAAGGAATAGGGTATTCACAGTGTGGGAAGCAAGGACAGGGAGCAGTTGAAGACTCAACGGTAAGGACTTACCCAGAATATCAAATTGAAGAGGAACATCATGTACTTCAAGCAGCAGAGGCAGCCCCTGGCCATGTTGCACTTCTTAAATTCTAGGAGGAACACAAAGGACAGGTCCAGGTAAAACACCACGTACTTGCTGCCTTTGGGTGCATTGTACTTGTCAGTCTTAACGCCGGCCTCCGTGCGGCTCTGACCCCGCGAACCCGCGGTGCCGTAGAAGGCGCCAGCCGTGAAGCCGCGGCCGAACGGGCGGCCAGAGGTGGACGGCTTGGCAAAGTCCGAGTCCTTGCTGTCCAAAGATGGACTCCGGTGGATCGAAGAATCCTCGCTACTCGACTTCTCCATGCTCGCGTCGTTCCCGGGGGGCACGAGGGGCGGGGGGCATCGCTCCCAGAGTGGGACAGAGGGGGCACCCTAGTCGGGCACGGGTTCTGAGGCGGCGGGCTGGTGGAGCCTCTCACGCCCCCTCTCTGCACCCGAGAGCACTCGCGGAGCAACCCTGCGCCGGGGCTTCGCTGCCTCTGGGACGGCGCCCCGCTCCCAACCCTAGCCCGCTGGCCCGGGAGGCTCTGCGGCACCGCTCTAAGCACGCTTTGGGAGCCGGCTCGCCTGCGTAACTAGGCTTCTTTGGGGAGGCTGCAATTTGACTGCTCTTTCCCGGGCGGCAGCACAGCCGACCGGACGCTGCACTCGAGGCCGAAGGGCGCCGGGATCCAGGCTCCGCAGGCACGCCTCTTCCAGCCCAGACCCAGCCCGGAGCCCCACCACTTTGCGGGAGCCCGGCCTCCCTCGCCCCGCGACTTTGCGGAGCCGCTGCCGGCTCGGGGCCGCCCGGGTGCACCACGGGCAGATCCTCGGGATACGCCGCAGCTGCAATCGCTGGGCTTGCCCTGCGAAATCCCAGCCCTGACTCTCGACTCTGAAATCGCCCGGAGCCCCTTCCCCGGGCTCTGGGCCCCGCCCCCTGCTTTGCATCCGACCAATGGGCTCCAGGCCTGCCTGGCTCCGGTGGGGGAGCTGCCCCCCTCCCCAATGACACAATATCTTTAATAGGATTAGCGGTCTGCTGTGTGCCTAAACCAGTGTGCCCAGGGCCCTTCTAAATGTCAAGGGCTCAGTGGCTGGGAATGAACTAGCACCTCCATGGTAAAGCGCTGGTCTCTTTTGCCCCAGCAAGGCGATATGTAGAAGGGGACGGCTGGAGGTTCCAAGGAAGCCAGAGGATAGCTGTGGGGAGAAAGGCTGGAAGGGAAAGAAACGCAGCTTCTACTAGGCTGGCCTCCGCCCCCTACGAACACTAGCCTGGGGCACATGGTCTCAAACAGTACCTTTACACACGCCCACACCACACACACACACACACACACACACACACACACACACACACACACACCATGCTTTTACACACGTGAGAACGGCTACTGCGCATTGGTAGAGAGACCGCAGCAGAGACGCAAGGTGTAGGAAAGCGCCCCCAGGCCTCCGCGGGGCGCGCCGCCCTCCCTGCCCCCTCCACTCGCACACGCACGCACGCACGCGCGGCTCCGAAAGACTCCTGCAGCTGCTCGAGCCCCAGCCTCCGCGTTCCCGAGTGGGACCGCGGGCTGCAAGGGGCCGGTGGCTCAAGTGGGGCACGGCTTATGCCAGCAGTAGAGCAAGGTAGCTTGTGCTCGTGGTCACAAGCCAGGTCCTCTTGGAGCCGAGGTCAGAGAAAAGACAGAAGGAATGGGTTTGCCAGGGGGACATCCAAAACAGCCCTTGATCCTCCCGTGAAGCACTGCAATGAAGACAGCCTCCCCCGGGCTTGTGCGGAAGTCTGCATTGCTGACCTGGGGCCACCGAGGTTTGCAAATGATAAGACTTGGGAGTGGGGAGGGAGGGGGGAGACAGAGACCAAGTCTCTCCTTTGTGCAGCTGAATCCCCAGTGCGGGAGCTAAGTTTTAGCAGGCTCCCAGGCTCGCAGAACCTAACAAGGGGCTCAGCCTCTGGAACGCACTCCACAGGGACGGCTAGGTGAACTTCCGTCGGGTGGAGGTGTCTACCCTGGAACCCTCAACCTCTATCCTGAGCCCCAAGGGGGAGCCCCTGAGGAAACAAAGGATTGCTACTGCTACCTCTGTGGGCAGCACAAAAAAATCTAGTTAGGATAGGAAGTTACTCATTACCAAGGAGGCACAGACGGACATAGCTGGCCATGGCTGTGCAGCGAGGGGGACAGTGATTCCAATTAATGGGACTTCACTTTCACTTGCGCCCCACCCCCCACCACCGGAGGTGCTAACTCTGAGACCCAGAGTGTAGCTTCTTTACAGACACTGCACTGTGTCCACTCTCCTAGGCCCCTTCTGAACCCAGGGGAGAGCCCAGCAGCGGCGAAGCTCTGTGTGGACGGGCACCAGCAGCAAGCAGCTCTCCTGCTGGGCATGATGGTCCTGGGGTGTTGTCTGAGGAAAAAGGGCAGATCTCTAGCTGGCTCCTGTGGGGACCACCAAGCAGTCTGATCAAAACAGCTAATGCCTCCTGTCCTCTTCACACCCACTTGACTGCCCCAGGAGGCACCATTACCGGTTCTTCTTTATAGCATACTTCTATAGCGTCCATCACTGGACTGGAGTCCCGTGCTCTCCCCTGGCAGTTCGTGCCTACCTGGCCACCGTCCCTCCTCTATCAGTGTGGAGCTCAGGAACACTCAGCCGTATTGTGTGTGAAGTGAACCCCATACCTTGTTAACTTTTGCCATCTCTTCTCCCTAGCTCACACTTATACAGACAGTCCCTGGGCTGTCCCATCATTGTGTCTGATTAGATTTACTTATTTATTTTATGGATATGAACGGTCTGTTTTTCATGCACAGATTCCTTATAGATGGTTGTGAGCCATCATGTAGTTGCTGGGAATTGAACTCAGGACCTCTGGAAGAGCAGTCAGTGCTCTTAACCACTGAGCCATCTCTCCAGCCCTTGTGTCTGATTAGAAATGAATGTATAACTCCAGGTCTTGGGACCAGAAAGCCAGGTGACAACGGGTAGGCAAGGTTAGAAGGCTGTCCAGTGCCACACAGCTCTGCTCGCTCCGGGTCACACTTGTCAAAGCTGCAGTGAGGCCTTACTATGACACCCAGCTGAGTCACTATGGGACCACGAACAAATGCAATTCATCAGTCCTTATAACCCCCAGGCTGACCCTACCACACATAGGTGTGGTAACCATTCCGTTGTACAGAAAAGGAAGTGATGGGCTTGGGCGAGCTTTCTGAGCCCTTGTGCCACCCTCTCTTGGCCTTTAAACACTTGCTGCGCCTTTGGCAGTCTTCCAGTCGAACGGAAAAAGTACAACAGGGGGCCTGAGATGGCTTGTCCTGATTTTGGGGGTGGATGGGTCATTAGGCAGAGGGATACTGAATTAGGGGGAACAGGGAGGAAAAGAGCTGAGGTAGTGCTCTGGACTGCACAGGTAATCAGCAAAGGCCCGAGATCTGTGACAAAGAATGGAGAGAGGAGAGTGCAAAAGAAAGCAGTGAGACGGAGCACATCCTTAAAGAAAGGCAGACAGAGTCCAAACACACCCATCCCCTGCCCTCTACTCCCTGGAGGAAACCGCCCACTAGTGATACATGGGTCACTGTGAGCAGGTTCCTGATCATGGATTCCAGGATGAATGGTCCGACCCAAGGGCCCCTGGAGCCCACGATTTGGCTGTGGAAGCCAGCCTTCTACCCTGACTCCACTAGTACCCAGGGAAGTCTAACAGAGCAATGCAGAGCCCATGTGGCAGGCATAGTGGGGATTTTTCTGTGGCCCTGCCTTGGCCCAGGGCTCTTTTAAGTGGGTGGGGAAGAAGGGCTTGAGTGTGGTCCACTCAGAAAGCAGCGAGGGGACAGGCCTTGGCGTGGACAGGAGGAGCCACTTTGCAAGCCACTTGTGGGGCACGTGAAAGTAGCAGCTATATTCTGCAACTTCCCAGGCAGCCAGGCCCATGGGCAGTAGGAAGCTGAGCCTGGCAGCGGGGAGAAGAAAAGGCTAGCAGGGGAGGCTGCTGCAGCTCCTTAGATCTGGTGTGTGAGAAGCCACCCTCCCAGGTCCCTCTCAATCCCCCCTACCCTCTCGGGTCCAGAAGAGCTTGGAGGCACTAGCTGCCTTTGAGGGGCTCTCAGGCTGGCTGCGTGCAAACAATGCAGACTGCTCTGCCTCTCCCCCATGACTTTTTTTTTTTTAATTTATTTTTAAAGGGAAAAAGAAAAGGCAAGTACAGAATTCTCAAAGAGGAGCACGAAAAGTAAATGTGAGAAAGCGGCATTCCACATCTCTGGCAGCCAGGAGACAGGGCTTCCCAGGAAATGCCAAGTGCTCTGTGCCTCTACAGAATTTACCAGGCACCAGGTGAGACAGGGCTCCACCCTCACCAGCCTAGACACCTTCTGGACCTGAGCTGTCACTCCTGTATGTGACAGCATGTTGCAGCATCTCACAGCCCTAAGCCTTAGCCATGAAACCACAGTTCAGGGGAGAACAAGGTGCTGGCAACCACTGCAAAGAGAAGTTACTTGCCCCAGGTTCTAAACTCCAAACTCTGGCCACAGGAGGGATGGTTTAATTGCTAAGCAAACTCCTCAGGAATGGGTGACTGCTCCCTAGCGATTCCTCTTTGCTAAGGAAACAAAACAGCTGGAATATGGATTCAGAATGGAGGATGGCAATAACAATGAAGAGGTGGAAAGTGGGGAGCTAAATGAAGCTGGGCACACACTACTTCAGTTAGCCCGGCTAAGTGTGAGTTCTAGGCCATCTTGGGCTACACAGGGAGAAAAGGAGGGAGTCGGGGGGGAGGGAAGGAAGAAGAGTAGGAGAATCTAAAGATACTTTTTTCATCTGCTTTTTGTGTGTTTGTGTGCGGTTCCTAAAATTAATGAGGAAAACTAAGGTTTGTCTCAGTGGGAGGGCTCATAGTTCTAAGAAGAGATGAATTAATTGTTCAGGACATATTACAAACGGGGCGGGCCACCTCTTCTAGAGAGCGGCTGCTCTTTCCCTCTCAGTTTTGCTCACACTGTAATGATTCACCTGCCTCTGCTCTGGTCTCTGAGCTTCAAAAAGACAACATCAGTTACATCCTGGTCCTCCCTCCCTGCCCCTGCTCCCCCTCCTCTGGTGCACGCGCTCCTGCACTTGAGTGCACACACACACACACGCACACACGCAAGCCTCTAGGGCCTGTCTACAATGACTACCACATGGTAGCTACTTAGAAAACAGGGAGGCTATCATGCCCAATCTAAACAGTTGTGCTCCAAGTCCATTCACCAAAGGATGGGACCCAAGCCAAAATCTATGGAGTTGTTCCTGGAAGGGAGGCCACCTCAGGACATCAGGCTCTGATGAGGCAGTCCAGGAAAGCGATTGTGTAAATATCATGATGTTAACTGAGGTGCCCACAGCCATCACCCTAATACATACCATGTCCTTGAATGGCTGGGTAAACAAGCAACAAGTTAGCCTAGGGGTCTACAGAGCCATTCTGGAAGATGAGTCCAGACACAGGAGTTTAGGAAAATAAAGAGAGACAAGAGCAAGACATGACAAGACTGCCCCTGGCCACCCCACCCCACCCCCGCCTGCCTGTGCTGAGTGTATGGAGCCTGGCAGAGGGGCTCCCAGGGCAGGGTGGACAGGGACACCTCTGCCTGCAACTCAGTCCCAGGAACTCAGGTGAATGTCACAGTGTTAAGTGCCAGGCTTCAAAACTCAAGAGCAAAGCCACTTCTGGCCTGTGGTCAGTGTGTGCCAGAAGCCTGGCTGCGAACCAGAAGCCTGGTCTCTGAATCATGATTCAGAGACCCTTCAGTGTACATAAGCACTCCATGACAGGGAAGCATGCGGGTCAAGGCAAGTAC